CCTCATTGGGCAAGGAAGTTGTTTAATTCCAACGATTGAGTTGCAGTGTCTAGCGGACACGCGAGCCTTGTTGTGGTAATAATCGATTGGAACTGTAAATGCTCTCAATCTTAATGAAGGAGGGTGTAACGGGGTTACACGAACCCTGGTAACAGGGGGGTCACACGAGATGTGCATGGTGTGACCACACCCAAACAAGAATACGGTACGGCCAGTAGTTATACTACCATAACATTTTGATAGTCATATTACATTCTTGTGAGATTTTTTAATCTCATCAGACAAAGTTTTTCAAAGTCGCATGGAGGTTTAGGTTCAGATATTTACCACTCGATCGAATAAAATGCGTCGTCGCTATCACCGCCAATTTGGCCTACCCAACGCTAACCAGATTCTGCTATGCATGTCCGTCTGCACGCTGCTCTTCTTCTCACTTTTGCGGCGGCAATGGCTGCACTTTGGCGAGGACCCGGAGTCTTACGCGTCTCTCAAGCGTGTCTACATCGCTGGGGAAGGATCTACTGACTCGAAATCTTGGGAACAGTTTTGCGCCGACGGCTACTTCGAGGTGAACGTGTAAGGAATAGTCTATATCGTGGCAATCAGGTCTTTCTTGTGAAGATCAACTTGAGCTATCCCATTTTATGCTATTTGTATAATTTAGTCCTGGGATAAATCGGACAGTGGCACTTGTCAACATGCAGGACGGAGCGGTGCTGTGTCATAAACACACTGGGGAATTGATACCTACATTAATGATATGGTTATTGGCGGTAGCTTTGAGCTGCGGTCTTTCAGGCACTTTTCTGGCAGCGTACCTGCAGCTAGGCAATCCGACCAAAAAGATGATTTTCTGGATTGGGATGATGCCAGGAATGTTGCTGTTCGCCACTGGTACTAACGTATTTCAGATCCTGTAAAATTGTTATCTCATATTGATATGGCGAAATGCGGCTGTAAATTATAGGAGTGTTGGGATCAGCGTCGTTGCTTCTATGGCAGCGACATTATATTCGGTTTGATAATGGAGACTGCTTCAGTATCACGGTGGCTGCTACTGTCATTGCATTTGCGGCCGCAATTTCAATGTTGATAAGGTGGCGCTGGGTATGTGCTCTGGCTATGCTTTTTGTGTGTTGTGTTCATCTTTTATGCACCGTATCTATCTGCCGTGACTATTGCAGCCAGGAATTTGTGCTGTACCAAATGAGCAACAAGCCTTAGGTTCGCATTCATATGGTGCTCCTTCATCACCTCGTCGCGGCCGGCCAAGATTATACGTCGGGATAACTGCGACTAGCGCACCGGCACACGATCTCGAGTCAGCGGCAGTCCCTTTCAGGCGCTAAATGGCGACCACACCTTGGCGTACAGTTTTGATCGCTACAAAAAGAAAGCAGATTATTTATGAGAGTACGCGTCTTGTTTATCATTGACCAAGTCTAATACTTGATAAAACTCGCACCAGTAGACTAAGAGCTTTCGTCACCACTATCGTTTTTCAGCTTGCTCAAGACTCTACGTGCGTACTCTCCAATAATCTTGGCGTCAGCAGCACCACTGCGCAAATATTCCGCCTGGCTTTCCGGGCGCGAGTGCACCTCGAGCAAATACAGCAAACTCCTTTCTGCAGGAATCTTCACGGTCATGTCGTTGCTTTTAATTAGCAAAAATACAGCAGGCACGAGCGTGGTTAGATGCTGACGAGTCATACCAGGCGAGCGCTTAGCTGCCGATTTAATCACGCGCAACGCGCCGCGAACTACATCCTTGCTCTTGTGCTCAACTCCTTCCACTAAGACTGGCACAAAAGAAGCAACACTATCGCCATGCTCCTGATTTGCCAATACTGCACTTATAGCAACAAGCGCATGGTTGCGTACAGCCACCTGGTCGTCTTTTGCTAAAGTAATAAGCGTACGGTTGAGTGGTTTTAAAACGCTCGTAGCCAATAAAGCCGAACATTTGTGCAGCGCAAACGCAGTAAATACAGCTGCACTTTGGCGGCGCTGCCATGACTGAGCCTTCAAATTGTCTGTGGACAATGTTGCCAAACTGTAATCAAGTAATCGCTGTTGGGCTGCTTTTAAGTTGCCATCTTGAGCAACGCAGGAGGAGAGGCACTTGCTCGCACCTATTCGTAAGGCATCTTCGCTTGACTCAAGCATTTCCTCGAGAGCGCTTTCTAATTTGCTGCGGCCTGTAACCGACAGCTTGTCACCAACACGATCTACAATAGATGCCACAGCTTCGAGATTGGCCTGACGAACGCCACCAACCGTAATACGCAAGCGCTCAGTAAGCTCAGCAAGAAGTGGCTCAACACGTGGACTCAGCGTGACGAGTAGACCTAAAGCTGAAGCTCCACGATTGCGCACTTCTATGTCCGTATCATTCAGTGCCTTGACGAACGTGGTCTGCAATTGGGGCAAGAAGGGCTTAAGAGCCCCGCCTCCTTTGGTTAGAACAATTTCTAAAGTCCGAAGTATGGCAGCCTTTACATGCCCTGGAAAACGATCGCCAGCAATTCGGATAAGCGAACCTGTAAGCTTCATAAGATATGGACGAAGAGCGGGAGCGCTACTTAACCCCACAAGCTCGCCTAGGCCGGCGGCTGCGCTTTGGCGCTGCTCTGGTGACCCGTTCATTAGAGCCCACTGGTAACATGGTAAAAAAGGCTCCAGACCTTTTGAAATACAGAGGCCGGGAAGAAGGTACTCGCGGTCACCAACGCCTCCCTTGCGATGACGCGTAGCACTGACCATTGAATTTATAGATTGACGTATAAAGTCTAAATGCTGTGCAAACTGCTCTGGTTTCAATGTCACATTCATTCCCTGCAGCGCCGCAGATGCCGCATGTACCACGGCATCGTCTTGGTCATTTAGATGCAAGACAATTTGCTTCAAAAAAAGCGGCGCTTGGTCATCATACATCACTGTCGTTTGAGAGCAAAACTCGGCTATAAGCTCGAATGCCAGGGCCCGGTCAAGCATACGATCGCTCTCGCAATACTTACACAGCTCAATAGCCAGCCAATGAACTCCTTGTGCTTCCACGCTCAGGACCACACATCGCAAAGATTCTTTGATTTCAGTCGCTAGATCAATCTTTGAAACATTCAAAACGCTGTCTTTTTGCAGCTCAGTGTTCTGTGTAAAAAGCGTTGCGAAAATCCGCTCGAGCTGAAAGTGAATTATAGCCCCGGTAGCCTGGGCCACTCGGGATAACGCACGAGCTGCGGACACAGTCACCGGTGTCATCAAGAGTCGTGGAATTACATAAGGAAGCACTTCGCGGGACTTCACACGCAAAATGTCCTGCAATCCAAGAAGCGCTCGCTCCTGCTCCTCGGGCAGCGAAGAGAGCTGAATGCGTTTTAGGATCATCGGAATTGTCTCGTCGATTGCGCGATAGCCAATACGTTTGTGTAGTACAGTAAAAGCTAGAGCAGCAGAAGCCCGTACCTCATGAATTTCATCGCAGACGCCGTCCAGAACAGCATTTACAAGCGTATCTACATAGTCTTCGATTTGCTTCCTCGTGCAACAATCAATTACTTCGGCCAGACCGATGCAGGCACCCTGTCGGCGACCAATTGGAAGCGAAGGCGACAAACCGGCACGAAGAATAGGTACCACCTCCGGCAGCACATGCTCGCCTAATTTGCGCACAATTTCTCCTAAAGTACGTCCAGCCATAGTTTGTTTTTCCATGTTGTCACCTGAAAGCGCTGACACAATGGCATTCATTAAGGCTTCAAGGATCTGGCGTAGTGTCTTTGGCGTATTCGCAACGACACTCTTCCAGACCTGCAGAGCGCTTTGGCGCACCACAGCAGAAGTGTCTGAACGAATCATATAGAGTGAAGCCAAAATTGCGTTGCGGCGCTTGATACCCAACAGCTTGATAATAGCTCGGTCACCAGCAGCACTACCAGAGCTATCGTCATCATCGTCAATTTCTTCGTTAGAAAATGCGACGGCACGTGTGCCACTAATACGGTACATTAAGTCACCAAGCAACATGACAGAACTCTGGCGAATACGCCAGCTATCATCGAATAGACCAGCCTCCAGACTAGGCAGCAGTTCGCGAGTATGCGACAGCGCGTGCGCGTTCACCACAACGTGACCGGAGTGCATAGCAACATCGCGCACAGAATCGGCTTCGTCGCTAAGTCCTGCTACTACAATAGGCAGCGCTTCACGAAGAAAAATTGAAAATCGTTTGCCAAGTGCAGGCGGCAAGAAGGCCATAACCCACAGTACACCTTCACGCACAGAGTACTTTGGGTGGCGGGCTAATGGTAGAATGTCATTTCGCATGACACGCTCCACACGCTCAAGTCCAAGAGCAACGACGACTTCACATAGACCTTGCGCAGCACCCGAGCGCTCAATGGGGCCGACGTTGTCGTCCTTCATTGCCTCGAGAAGCCATGACAGCATTTCAGCGAAATGACGCTCCCCAAGACCTTTTACTAGCTTGCCTAAAGCTTTAGCAGCCACGGCACGAACTTCTGGAATCGGGTCCACAAGCTGAGTTTTGATACTCGGCAAAACTGTCTCCATGTAAGGCACCAAGTCTTTTGAGTCGTTAATCATTGAGCACATACTACCCACAATAAGTGCCGCCTTCTTCTTGGCATCGCCAGCACGATCCTTCAGACCGCGCGAAATGATTGGCATCACAAGGGCCAATGAAGGTGCGTCGATCGAGTGCTGAAAAGAAGTAGATTGCAGCTGCTGGAGTGCGTCGGCTGTGTGGCGATTGGGGTCTTCAAGCGCGTCGAGAAGTACCTTGGAGATTGCTGCGATCTCGGGATTGCGCACAACACACCCGACATCCCGCAATGCGCTTTTGCCAGCCTCGCGCACCTTCGGGTGCGAGTCTATGAGAGCAGCCAGCAATTTGGGTACTACCTGAGGCAGACACGAACCTAGCTGTCGCGGGGCACAATACGCCATGGAGCCTAAAATTTGAATACCTGATTGCTTTGTACGCCAGGCGCTTTCTTCCAGTGCACGCAGAAGTGAAGGAAGGACGAGCTTTACACCGTGCGCCGACAAGTTCTCCATGATTTTCTTGGCAGTGTGACTGGCAGCTTCACGAACTTGTGGGCTAGGATCAGCCGAGCACTTGAGCAGAATAGGCAGGATCACGATAATGTAAGGCTCGAATAGGATTCCGAGACGCTGGCTTAAACATTCAAAAACAAGCATTGCACCTTGGCGAGCATTTGCTCCACCCTTTTCTGTCGATTCTTCAAGACGCGGGATGATGTTGTGCTGTTTCATAGCAGAAATACCAAGTCCCTTAATTACTGCCGAAACACCAAAGGCTCCACCCATCCGGTCACCAAAAGCTTCACCTTTAGCCACGCGCTTTAGCAAATCGTCCAAAATAGCTGCGCTACGTTCTTTTACCGCAATCATCAGCGGTGAAAGACATGTCGCAACTGAACGCTGCACAGACTCGGATGGAATCCCAAGTGCTTCGATCAGCAAATCTACAATGGATGACACTTTTGGATCTGTCGGGGCCATGTGCTTGGCAAGAGAGCCTAAACAGACCACCACTCCCTCGCGCTGATGATCATAGATGGATAGTGCTTGTTTTTGTTGCTCCAGCATATTATATTCTTCAGCAGCAAGATAGTTTCCGAACCTTGCTTCTTCTATGGTATCATTCTTATGTATAGCAGGAGGTGGTGAGGAAGTAGCCTCGAGAAATCGTTCTAGCAAATCTAGCAGAGGCGATGTGTTTGCCCCTCCCCCCAACGAAGTAACAGCCTGGATACCAGTTTTGCGCATTTGTGCACGCACTAAAGAATTTGAGTCTCTCAGTCCATGTTCCATCACGAACGTCAGCAACGTGATCGTGTTTGTACTGGACATAGCCTCGGGGCCAGCAAATGTTGCTGCTTTTTCCAAGCTCACAGCGACACCAAGACGAGAATAAAGTTTCTGATCATCCTCGTTATTCTCGACACTACGCGCAACTGAGTGGCGAACAGAAGAGATGCCAAATTCGTACTTGTGCTCTACTGATGTGGGTTGACAATGCAAAAATTGCGTCTTTAAGTTATTCAATAATGGCGTCATCAAGTTCGGAAATTGACGCAAGCCATCGGCAAGAGCAAGCGATGCACTATCACGTACGCTTGCATGCTTATTGCTCAACAGTTCAAGCAAGGGTTCTGCAAAATTTTTCTCGACATTGGCACCAAAAGCGTTCCACAATTGCTTGGCAACATCGCGATTATTTTCGTCGAGGTCAAAGCGACAACAGTGCAATCGGCTCACCAAAAGCGAGCTCAACTCCACGTCTAAAACAATGTTGGGGGCTCCATCCCTCTGTATGACATTGAGTAAGGCAATTAATATTGCTCCACGAATGCTCGCCACCTCAGAAAGCAAGCCATCACAGCCAAGCAAAGGAGCCCACTCGGTCGCAGTCAAATCGGGTCCTGAGCTCAAAGATGTTAAAAGCTTCTCTGGAGAAAGATCCGGATTTGTGATGGGGAGCAGACTGCCTCTCGCCTGGTGGGATAACAACATTAAAGTAAGTTGCAACATCTCCAAGCGCAGCATTCGCTGGGCCGCCACGTCACCCACTTCTTCTTCTTCTTCGTCCGGGATCATGTGTGCGTGAGCAGCAAAGAGAGGCAATGCCCAACGACGCAATTCCGGTGCAAAGCAAAGCAGGCCACGCAGCACAGGAAAGATCAGATGTAGTGTGGGTGGTGGGATTAGGTTACATGAAGCATCAGCGTCAAAATCTTCCTCATTCTCGAATTGGAAGCCAAACACGTAATCCATAAGCTTCGCAAGAAGCCGCAAATATAACGTCTTCGAGTTAGCAATGCAAGCAGCCTTCGCTTTGTCGTCAGAAAGCTGACTCATCTGCAAAACAATGCGCAAGGCAGAAGCAACATCTTGATACTTCAAGCGAAGAACTTTGGGGCTGATGGCCTTAGCTAGAGCCGTCAATGCACAAAAAGCTTCTGATCTAAAGAGGGGGCAAGCAAAGAGCCTATAAACAGAACAAAGAAGGCGCGGTAGCGCTGGGTGCAGCTCATTTGGACGAGCGACTGCGAGCATATCGATAGCTTCAAGCACGGCTGCCACGATGTGGCGCGTCTCTTGAAATTTACGACGCAATTCCTGTTGTTTGGCTAGAAGTGCCTTCTGCTCAGTCGAATATTCTTCCTCCTGAGCTCCTTGCCTTCCTTTCTTCTGACGCTCGAGCTCGCGTGATTCTTGCTCCCACCCTGCTTCCTCGTTGCTACGACGAGAAGGACATCTGTTCCGCCCAGCGCTTACTTTTCTATCATTATCTTGTTTCTTAGGCTCGAATAAATGATTGAAAGGTGTCTGGCAGACACTGATTTCATTCTCATTAAGATCACCAATTTTTTCACAATCCAGACGCTTCGCCAGCAAATTTTCGATAATGGCATGCAAAGCAAGATCCTCGCCCGCACCATTGCCAGCGAAGTCGAGTAGCGTCGCCAATGTGCGCTGTGCAGCCAGCCGCTCCAGAGGACTCGTGGCATACAATTTGCCTGTGCGGGTATTGGCCAGTAGCTCAACGATGGCTGTCTTCACATCCTCATGTTCCTCGATGAAATTGTCTACACAACTCGCATTGCTAGGAGGCTGAAAGTCATCTCCGTCCACAGCTGAAGCAGCACGAGGACTCAAGAAACGGTGACGAATAGAGTGCCACTCACGTGATAGCTTCTTTGCCTTCTTGCCGTTGGAAAGTAATGGGTGGTGTGCAAGATAAATCACATGCGAAAACACTTGTACTTTGACGTCGTCGGCGTTACTAGTTGCAAATGTTAAAATCTCACGTAATGCACGACGAAGCAAACTTGCAGGTGGAAGATTAGCCTCATCTGTAACGCAAAACTCTTGAATCTTTTTTTCGAATGCAACGATAAGGCCACAGCAGTGCTCTAACGACATTTGATACAGAGTTTTTAGCGCACACTCGCCACTCTGACGCACAGTGGGATTAAACGAGCACAGTAGTTCTATTAACAACATATATGCCTCGCTTGCATCCGAAATCCGTGATGACAGAACCCACACGAGAGCCTGAGAAAGAGCAACAAGAGCCGAAACCTCGGGGGATTCAGCTTCGGCAATTCTTCGAGACGTAATCGCTACAATGCTTAACAAAGCTCGCGTGCTTTGTATGACAAAGGGCATCGAGCTCCTCAGCAGATTTGCAACATTATGTCGAGCCATTTCAGCGTCCACTTCGCTACTGGCAGACGCAATAGCAACAGCCACAGCAACTGCAAACATGCCGTCGAGATGCACCATGTTCGGCTTTTTGGCTGATTCTTTGATTACAGTAACAACTTCACTCGAAAATGAAACAACTGCAGTGACTCTAGCCCTGGAAATTGTCGCTAGAGCACGAAGATAGCCAGCGATCATAGACTCAGATTTGTTCTTCAGTCCTGTTTTAAAAGCATTGAACGCGTCCGCGCCCAATTCGTCAGTGCCAGTAAGCGTAAGCCACTTTCCAAGCGCCAGAAGTCCAAGATGACGCACTTCATCATGTGCCTCCTTGCCAACAACTTTTAGCATCGATGGAATCACAATTGATGAAATTTCTTGTACGTCCATCGCGTGAAGTTGCACCGTCACGACATCGGCAGCATCATTAAGCACTGCGAAAATGACTTTGCGTTGGTAGAATTGCGCAAGAATACCGTACTTACCGTCAAGCAGGGCACTCATAACAGTCACAAACTGCAGCATATGATTACTATCACGGAACGATCGAATCAGTGCGCCACTCAGCGCGGCTGCAAGTGTACGCACATCGTCTTTAGGCGTCCGAAGCTTGGAGATCAGAACCGGTTGGAATATGTCGCTCACGTATCGTCCAAAATCCAATTGTGCGGCGATCACAAGTGCGTTTACGGCTTCAATCACTGTTTCGGGCGCTTTCTTGAGCATTTTATTCATCGAAGGCATAATAATCCTTTGAAACTGCTCGTGGCTTAGGTTTTTGAATCTCTCGTCGGTGTGAAGCAGCGGCACATACGTGCGCTTCTTGCTTCCAAAAGCCCAGAAAACATATTTGCGCCACATCAATTCCTGTTCCGCTATGCTAAGTCCATCACAGAGACCTAGCAATAGCCACAGCTGAAAATGTGTATCTTCTTCTTCTGCTCCAGCGATCATGTCCATGTAACCCAGGTGTAGTAACTGGCCGTGTTTCTTAAGCAGCTTGAGCAGCGCATTTTGCGCTCGCTGCTGGATGCGCTTACTGTCGCTAATTGTGGATTCTAGCAAGTGACTTTGCGCTGCTAGAAGTTTGCGAATCCACAAAACATCCGCCTTGACCGTCAGTTGCGCATTCAACACGACGCATGAGAGCCGCAGCGCTATGACACGTGCACCTGCAAAAGAGGCGACGAGCGCAGATTTCTTAGCGCACAGTACCTGGCAAAATGTATCTGGAAATGACGGAAATTGATCGCATATTGCGTTTAGCAGTGTGCGCAAATGCTGCTCAGATCTGCGGTGTTGCAAGCGGTAGGCCTCAGCCAGTACCTGGCTCGCTAGACAATTAAGCGGCAATTCGCCGGCTTTACACTTTTCAATAACCTCACGCCGGTACGATTGAATAAAGACCAGATCGCCAGGATGCAACACTGCTGCGTCCAGAAACGAACGCAACACGTCCTCTTGCTCCGTCATGATGTTAAAGGGGTTCGAACTGCGGAGCACCACGGATAATGTTGTCGGTATTAAACTGTGTAGCAGCTGTAGTATAGTGACTAATGATACAAATTTAAGTATTGGTGCCACCAGCTGCAACAGGCAACTGTTGAGCGGTCCATTGACATGGTGGGCGAGGATGCGGGCGAGTGTGCCGCTTTCACGGCGAGGTTGGATGGAGGCGAGCCCAAGCAGGCGGATGAAAATATCGTAGGAGAGTATCACTGCGAGGAGCAAAAGGAAAAAGAAGCTATGATGAAGAATTATCACCATCCAATGAGGCAATGGTTCCGTCAGCGACCCCATCTTGAGGTGCTGTCTAGATATTGACGACTACGACTTGACTCATACTAAATTTTAATTATGGATATCGGGTAACGTTGACAGGCCAAGTACGGCGTTTTCCCCTTATTTTGGCAGGAGCTTAAAACGTGGGAACCGTATCGGGAGGTGCTCGAAGCTTTCATCAACTTTACGGATCGTGGAGATGACGCCAAAAATACTCGGAAGAACGATGATGCCGCTGATATAGATGAAGTAGGGGGGAAAGATGCAATCGAAGCATCAGAGCAGTCAAAGAAGCCAAAGAAGCGCCGCAAGAGTCGATGGGGAGATCCTGTGGATTCTGCGGCTGAAAACAATGGTGAGAAGAAGAAAAAATCACGGTGGGCACCGACTTCCAGCACATCTTCAGCAATGGGTGGTTTGCTAGCTCAGAACCAGCAGCAAATGATTTTACTACGTGCGCAGCTTGAAAGGATCAGTCAGAAGCTAAGAACGGTGGCGATGGACGCAGCATTAATCGAAAAAGATCCAAAACGATCGCCATCACCTCCACCGCAATATGATTCAAACGGGAAGCGTACGAACACACGCGAAGTTCGTATGAGGGTCGAGTTGGAAAAATGCCGGCGCGAAACGATTGATGAGCTCGTGAAAATTAATCCGCTTTTTCAGCCGCCAGCGGACTACACACGTCAGAAACTTCACCGTAAGATTTATATTCCTATTCGAGAGTTCCCGTCCTACAATTTCATCGGTCTTATTATCGGTCCACGTGGTAACACACAAAAGCGAATGGAGCGAGAAACGAACTGCAAGATCGCTATCCGTGGCAAAGGGTCGGTCAAAGAAGGTAGCAAAGGCAAAAAGATGCTTGCTGATGAGAACGATGATCTTCATGTACTTATCATGGGCGACCGCGAGGATGAAATCGAAAGGGCGGCTAAGGAAGTGCAAAGTTTACTTGTACCGGTTGATGATACAAAGAACTCCCACAAGCAAAAGCAACTGCGGGAATTGGCTTTAATAAACGGTACACTTCGCGATGCTGACTATTGTCATATTTGTGGCGAAAAGGGTCATCGACAGTGGGAGTGCCCCAATCGAGATGCTCAACGTGAGTTTGTCGAACGATATTCTAATTTTTTGCCTTCGCATGCTTTTGCTAATATAAACCTGTTTAATTAAACGTCGGCAGGTACCTTTACGGCTGCCAGCATTAAGTGTGCCATTTGTGGTGATTCTAGTCACCCGACACGCGATTGTACTCAAAAGCAGAAGTCTGCAGAGGAAAACGCTGCCATAGACAAAGAATATCAGCAGTTTATGCAGCAGCTCGGCGAAGCACCTGTCGCGACAACTGCTACAAAGACTTCCGAAGCAGCTGCAGCTGGCGCTGCAGCCCCGTGGCTGCAACCGGTAAAGACTTCTTCGAGTGCTTCATCGCAGAACTGGATGATGCAACAGTCCATAGGTGCACCAGGTACAGCAATCGCGCCAGGTGTGCAAGCTGGTATAACCGGTTTGGGCTCCACCCCAGCTACGGCATTTCCGCCACCCATGGCTCCATCGGCTGGATACGATTATCGACCACAGGGTCAAAATTGGGGACAACAAGGATGGAATAGTGGGTATAATCCGTATTACGGATCGTGGGAACAAAGCGGTCAGAATGCGGCCTACCAGGGGTATGGCCATTATGGTCAAGTAACAAGTGTTACGAATGCGAGTGCGAGTGCAAGTGGTGAGGCAACCGAGGCTAACATGGCGGGACGATATCAGTATCCTTTCAACGGAAATCCGTCACAGTAATACTACCTTGAGCTCAGTGATCATGTGAAGTGGTGCAGAGGGCACCATGTTCACCACATGCTATGGCGCGACGAAAAGTTGCAGTTATGATAATTACAGCTCAGAGAAAGCAGCGAAAGTTAAGTATTCATAGAAGCACATAAGTTGTGTGAACATGATTTTGCGCATTTTTGTCTTCTCGTTGTTGCATAGACTGCATAGGGGTACAAATATTCTTTTTTGTTTCATTGTTAAAGTGCAATTTATAGTAAAATGCTGAATGTAAGTTGAAAATTAATTCGGTAGAGTGACTCATATATTTTAAATGACCAACTTTCTTATGATTCGTTCTTGTCGACTTAGTTGCTTAAAGAGTTCCTAGCAACAAAAACACGCGTCATAAACATTATTTCGGTCTCTTTGGGTGACGAAAGCGTACTCGTTGACGATTCTCATCGGAAACAAAATAACTTTTCAAGCGCCCCCGAATGTCGGACAAAGAGGGTTGATCTATGCAGCTTCTTACATTCAGAAGCTCATAAAAAATGCCTTCCCACATGTCAACGTCCCAATACCGCTTGAATTGCCTAGCAATCCCCCAATCTATTGTACCCTTGGAATTTTGACGAGGCTTGATATCCATATACTCCCCAAAGAGCAAACAGTGCATTGTTCCACAAAAAGCAAACGTGTCGATTTGGTGTAACCAAGGTCGTTGCGTCAACATTTCAACACACTGAAAGCCTTTCGCATGGCAACTGCCATTAAAATATGTTCCTTCCGGATACAGACCGAGGTCGATGGATCTTCCGTAATCTATGAGAAAAAGATCACCAGCTTGGAATTCATTGTCTATCCGCGGATCTTGGATGATCATTGATAACTCCGAAGCTGGGTTTCCAGGCATCATCAACCAATTATCCGGTTTGATATCGCCATGAAGAACTTTTGCACAGTGAAGGAGCTCTATGCATCGCAGCATCTTGATACTATAGTAGACAACCAACACTTCGGGAAATCGTATGCCTGACTGTGAAGAAATTTGATAATTCAGAGGGGTTATAATTACTGCTGTCAGCGAAAGGATAGAAAACAAAAACCTGCTTATAACAATTAAGGATATCGAAAAGAGTACCAATGTGACCCTTTTCCATTATCAGCAATGCTCCGTTCTGTCCAGCACCAATTCGGGACAAATATTAGATTAGCCATTTACATAATGAAGCATTCTTGGGCGCCAGAAAGATAACACACCGAAAACAAATGAAGCTCGGTAAAAGTTGGCACAGGAATTTCCTTGTCTGAAAGCTCGTTCTCAATCCTTAATCTGTTCTTAATCTGGTTCGTGATGTAGAACTCCCACGCTAAATTCTGACGCTCCTTCTCAATCTAATGTAGTACGGACGTGTAAGCTGTGACTTGATCACCAAGTTAGTGTATGTCGTACTTTGACAGCCTTGCTTAAGGTGGTATTTTTAGATGTGTCGACGACGTTAGCCGAGAAAACATTCGCGAATGACCCAGAACCAAGCACTTTGAGCAGCCGAAGTGAAAGTGTTGGACCGGCTTTGAAGACAAACTGCTTTTGCAGCTTGCACTTAGACTGATTAGCGCACAGAAGCCGCGGCAACCTATTAGAATGAAGCTTGACAGCATCTGGCCTCGAGCACAAGTATCTTTCGACCCGTTTATCTGATACGAGTGTTTTACGGTTTTCGAAAGTAAAGGGATCCAGTTCGAGCGCTGGTACTACAGTCGCGGCAAAATGATCCTTTAAACAGCTTTCTTCTGTGACTTGCATCACATATCTGTGTGAAAGGTATTTAACGCGTTTAGAAGGATGGCAATATAGTTGCAGTTTTCAATCGCATGATTTTAATACATTGGACATACCTCGATGAAATTACTTGTACTAAATTCTTGGTGATGCCTTTTTTGCAGTGGTTACAGTGTACGCTACTCGGTAACCATTGTCGAAATATGACTAAGGCTCTTTATAGACTGATGCATTGAGAATTCTCTACCTTTTTTCTGCAGCGGCATTTATTTGAGCCTGCACAAGGGCATCTTTGTTAGTCAAGCGGACACTGCGCATTAGGTCGTCACGAGAGCCGAGAGGTTTCCTTTTTGCACTTCCGATCTTCGCTCCAGGCTGCAACTCTCTAGAGAGATCATCATTCAAGGCGCAAAAAAAAACCTGCTTTCCCGTCTTGTGAGGCTTTTCGGAGGCATCATCGCTAAGATATGAATCCATCTTCGCCTTTGACGTTTCAGTGGGCATATTCTCACTGGCAATTTGAAGGTGTTGCTTCGCGCTAGACTTATTCGTGTCATGTCGTACGGACAGACTATTTGCAACGATATCGACCGAGTCGTCAAATACGCTAAAATGAAGCATGCGCTCACCTG